GGGGGGGGTTGTGTCTGGAAATGTTTGTAAGTAATTCCAGAGGTGTCTTCCTTGAAGATAGGCCACGTCAATGAACATGGTCAGCCCCCCATACAGCGCTTTGACATAGCGAGGTGGGTCCTCCTATACTCAAAGTTATTTTGAAATAAAGTTGTACAATCCCTACCCCTTCCTGAGGGGGGACGTCGAAAATTGTAAATTACATTTTCCTATCCGTAGGGCCTCAAAAAAATGTAATTACATTAACTTTGGTGGCCTCAAAAAAGTAACTTGCATTTTTGAGGCCTCATGGGTGATTTCCCGGGGAATGACCTCAAAAATGTAAGTTACATTTTTGAGGCGCAATGGAGCGCTTACATTTTTAGACACCCCCTATCCTAGAAGTTGAAACTTGACACATGTAACGTGACACATTTCCTGTTCTGCTTTGTTGATGACGACTCATATTTTTGGAGGCTATGCTTTCCTTATTGGGAGTATTGGGAGGCATCAGTTTGTCTGTGTGGGTGTGCCCTCTTTCCCTTTCCTGTAGGCTTTTTCTGGGTGTGCCTGCAATATCCTTTAATATCCTTTAAGTACTTTTGTGTGGCTTGTTGCTGCAGAAAGCAAACATGAGTAACAATCAGCAAGAATATCAGCCACAAGATCAGCCACACACACAAAGCCAAGACAAAACAAAACCCCACACTAAGGTAACAAATCCTGCAATATCCCCATCATTTAATTACTTTTGTGTGGCTTGTTGCTGCATGAGTCATCATCAGCAAAGAATAACAGCCATAAGATCAGCCACAAGATCAGCCACACACACAAAGCCAAACAAAACAAAACCCCACACTAAGGTAACAAATCCTGCAATATCCCTTAATATCCTTTGATTACTTTTGTGATCTTTTGTGTGGCTTGTTGCTGCAGATAACACACATGAGTCATCATCAGCAAAAAATAACAGCCACAAGATCAGCCACAACAGGGAGAGGCTTGCCACCTGGTTGCGCTTCGTGACATCGGACATGAGTGATTTTCAGCGTGCTAAAATGTAAGTAATGCAGGGGGACACTCCAGTTCCTTGAAATTCTGGGAAGTTGGGCATGTGCTAAAAATGTAACTTACAATTTGTGAGGTCCAACTTGATCCCAGAACCCACGTATTCCCTGCAAAATCTGAGGGTTTGGTTGCGTGGACTAATTGTAAGTTACAATTTTTCACGTCTGCAAATCTCACCTGTGTCCTTTTCCTTGGCGTTGATGCATCAGTTTGTGCGTGTGTATCATCAGGATTTCCGCTTGGCTTCATTGGTGGCGTCTGGAAGCTTGCGCCGACAGGGAGGGGCCGTGGTGGATGCTTTGTTCAAAAGCATCATGCTCAAGATCAACCGGAGAGGGTCTTAAACACATGTAACTCTAAGCCTGCCAGGTTGCAACTTACATTTTTTAGACCTCCCACACATCCCTTCGATCTGCCAACACACCCTGGGGGGTGGTTTTAAAAATGTAAGTTCAGGCCTCCCAGGTCCCAAGTTACATTTTCCAGACCCCCCCCCTCCCCCGATCTGCCGACCCCCCCAGGGGGGGGGGGGGG